TTTCAAAAAGTTGGCCAAGGTCTTTGAGAAAAGTATACTGAGGATTTTTTACAAGATTTTGGGGTTTTTTTAAAAAAAATTTTTTTTACACTTGCAAAAATTTCTGCCTCATAAATACTGTACCTGTTCTAGTAAGTTCAATGGCTAAGCAAGCATTGCCATTTTTTTCTGCTTCTAGAGAGGATTAGAATTATGGTATCTTGAATAGGATATGGGTAGATCTGTGGTTTAATTATGAGAAAAATGAAAAACATCTCTTTTTATAGCTAATCTGTGTTTGACACACACTAAAGGATAAAGCAGCGGCCAGGTAAATATCATGAATTACCATCATTCCTCAGTTGCCTTTGTGTCCACTTAAGTATCCTAGAATTGTAGAATCCGGGAGGTTTTAGTTTCTGATCTGGCCATTCTCGTCTGAACACGATGATTCAGAAGCTACAGCCATCGCTGCATTGAAGTCAGCTCAGTTCCAGGAAAGACTTAAACCAGACATCTCCAGCAAACTTACTGTTTTACTTCATGGAGACTAGTCCAAATGATCACTATGGATCTTACCAGTGGGATCTATGGACACATCCCAGTCTACAGATCTTAATTGGAGTTGCAATAGATGACTATAGTAGTTGAAAATCAGAGCCATGCCAACATGCTTTGGTTTATACAGCATATACTGTACATACTATATAGACCTTAACCAAGGTCCCTTATCTTCAAAGAGCTGGGAAAGACCAGATCCTGAATGGCTTGGATTGGGGTGGGTCCTTGGTTAACAACCAATGGAATTTGGCAACAGAGATTACCAGCATTGCTGTTGCTAAGCAATGTACTCACATGAGATAAATCAAGGACTATCTATATAGTATATACAAAATATGCTGTATAAACCAAAGCATGTTGGCATGGCTCCAGAGACGTAGAAATGTTTCTAAAGTTTATTCTCCTCTTCAGCAGAACAAAATTGGCAAACAATATCTGACTCTTTGGAGATTTAGCCGGCCAGAGAAACATTCAAAATGTAATGCCAAGCTCCTGAGCGCTCTCTGTTTTCTCTCTAGTAACACCTTCCTTGGCTAAGCTTTGGTTCCCTTTTGCCCCTCCT